CCAATGGAATGAGTATTTTTACTTTTAAAATAAGATTATTCAATAATAATCACTTGAAATAAGACAAATAAATTGTGTTTTCTTATTTTAAGTGTAAATTTTTTGTTTCATTGGCAAAATGTCTCTTTTACCTCCTCAATCCAAGAACAAATGCACTTATTTAAAGAAAAAATTACTCATCTAGATTTTGATTTTTTTCCAGTGTAACTCGGGGCATCTGAGTCAGGGTCTGATAACGAACTTCCTTCAGCTAATTATTCCAAAAACAGGACAAATGTTTTGATTTCTTCTTTAGTATTTCAGAACAACAAGAAAATAAAGAGTAATTAGTAGAAATTAGCAAATAGATACTTTATAAATGGAAATGAATGCAATCCAGAAATGCACTTTTTAAAATTAACTTTTCTGTTTGCTCAGATTTATTTTTTTCTAATTTATTTTTCCGTTTTGTCAAGCTTTTTTGAAATCAGATTTCATGTTTTCAATTTTTAATTTTTTTTTTAGATTGAATTTTAAGAACTACATTCTTTTTCAGATTTCATCTCACGTATCAAATTCTGTTTACTTTAAGCCTGATCCAAACATTCGCAGACGACCAATAGAAATGCGTCCAGAGGAAAGCCCGCCCCCAGAAGGGGAGAGAGTTGGATCTGGACAAAGAATAAAATTAATAAAACTTCTGAAAACAGAAATTTGAAAAAGGAAAAAGAAAAATGATTAAGAAGTTTATTTAAGGCCGAATTTCTGTACGGAAGAGGATTAGGGCCACTGGAAAAAAAAAAAAATGTTCACTGATTTTTAAATTTTATTTCAGTATGAATAAAAAGACAGAGTTCTGACTTTATTCCAATATTAAACTGAAATATTTCAAAATCAGTTAACCTTTTTTTCTTTTTTTTCACTGGCCCTAATCCTCTTCCGTATTTCTGGTCAATTTACAAAAAAAAATTGTTCTTGCAACAATAATGGAACATAAATAACTCCATAAGCGAACCACGTTAGTAATTCAAGGCCAAACAATAAATCTCAGTCAAACTTTATTAGATCATGAGAAAAAAACATACAAATAAACAGCTGATATCGTCACAATATGAAAAGAAAAGCATCACTTTACAAAAGCCACGAGACACAGAGCATTTCTAAAACTGTAATAATAACGAGGATAATCAGCCGGGGTTCAGATCCTACACAGAAATCAGATAATTACGTCAAAGCTGTGAATTACACACAGGAGCAGCTGAATGTGGTGCAGCTTAGTAAATACCAGCTGCTCTCCTCCTCCAGCCATGCAACAGGTCCGCTCTGTGGGACCGACCTCGCTGCAGCACAGATCCACGGTAAACAGCACACGTCACATGATCCACAACAACAAATTCACTTTGTCACAGATGGAGATCAGCCCTGGAGCTAAACTACGGCTGCATCTTCCAGTATCTACTGAACACTGACACAGAGGTTCACGATCACTGCGGTGGAACCGAACACGGATCGGTTCAGCGGGTCCAGAGAGACCAGTGAGTCACTGGAGTCGTTCTCACTGATAATTCACTGATTCAGGCTTTAAAAAAAGGATTCTGGTCTCTATTCACACTGAACAGGACGTCACTGAGACCAGAGCAGATTTAATCCAGAACTTCATGCTGGTGAAGATTCAGTCATCCAGGTCATGGTTATTCCAAAAAAGTTAAAAAGCAATCGATTGGGCTTTGGTTGAGGACCAGAATGTTCACATTTTGGACAAAGAAGACAGGAGGTTTGAGAGGAGCGTGAAGGAAGCCATCTTTGTTAGGAAAGATAAACCAACCTTAAACAAAAGTAGTGGAATCAGAAGATATTGCCTGTTCAGCCAGGCCAACAATTCACTCTGACGACCCCCATTCCAAAGGGGGGGACCCGTTCATCCGTTTCTATTTGCATGTTTTCTAAACTAAAACCAGGCTTTGTTGGGCTGCTGGATAAAACCTGGAACTAAACGCTATTTCTGACATTTTGAATTGAAAAATCTTCCTGGATGGAAGAGAAACGTCTTCAAACTTGGAAACAAAGTCCAGTGGATTGATTTTAAAGTCGTAAGGAATTCATATGTACATTTCAAATCCTTCTGGCTTAAACATGTATATAAATGTTCTCTTTATCAGACCATATTGCCCCAGAATTTAGAAAATTTCTATAAAAAAAAAAAAATCCTGTCTTAAAATCTGTGTTTTTCTCCATTATTTTATGCATGCCTGTTAGTTATACGTCAGCCTGAACACCTAAATTCAGCCAATCATATATCAACGCTCATCTGTCAATCAAATGTTTTCGGTCATAGCATCTTGATTCATGTGTCGCAGCTAATATACGCAACGGTTGAAACCAGAATCCTTTCCTTTCCCATTGAGTTGCGTCCCAGTGTTCACGGGGATGGACGTCTGTGTCTTCGGCAGGCGTAGAGCTAACAGAACTGGCAGCGTTGCGAGGCAAGGGCTCAAACATGTACGGCTGGAAGCCTTCTACACCAAACCAAGCTTCTGCCGCCCTGGCGTCCTCTTCCACAACATCTTCGTCCCCGCTTTCCTCCTCTAAATAAAAAATGGATGACGGAGGAGACTCATCCACGACCTCCGACACTAAACTCTCCTCCTCTTGCATGTTTCCTCTGTCCATAGCGTTCCTTGACAGCGTCGTTTCTAAGTCACCAATTTAGTGCTACTTGGTCCCAATGGAATTTCCCATTGGGAACCTGCTAGCACTAAGATGCTAACTGGTTAGCAAGATGCTTCCAACAAACCGGCCACAACCAAACTTGCTTGCGAACCTTCCGTTACAACAATCCCGCCCCCTTGATAATCGACCAATCACATTCACTTTATTCACTCGTGTAAAGTTGGGCACCTCTCGGAAATAATTTCGAAAATGCAACGGTTGGAACGGCCGCTTCCCGATGACTTTAATGATCAAATCTCTTCTGGAGTCTCAACATATTGTTACCAATATTTGCTGTTATTTTGGAACAGCCGCTTCCCTACGACTTTAACTTTTTTGGAATCCAGAACTTCAAACTGCTGGCCCATGAAGCCAACCTGCAGCTGAAGAGCAGCTGATGTCTGAAATAGAACTAAAGGATCTAGATCCACATTTAAGTCACTCAGAAGCTTTTTTCTGCTTCCAGCTGGAGAAAGGATGGATTCCAGAAGAACTTTTAGGTCTTTAAACCAATTCTGCTCTTGGAATAATCTCTGAATATCTCAGGGTTAACTCCTGGACTTTGGTTGAATTAGATGATGAACCAATGAGACGGTCAGAGCCAATCTTCACACACTAAACCGGCGCCTCGACATCAGAATATACCAGGAAGAACAGAATTAAGAAAAACAGCATGAATGGTTCCTCTTAGGGTGTCTGGGTTGGGGAGGCCCACCCTGACTCCAGCCTCTATCAGCGCCACCTTCAGATCCCCATCCTGCTTCTACAGACGGTTCTACGCAGCAGTGAGCGGCTCAGGAAGCAGCCACGGTCCCACCGTGTCAATCCCATCTGCTCCCATGCTTCCATCTTGTGGAACATCTCCATAATAATGGGAGGTTTCTGTTCCTCTACCATCAGTTTCAGCAGCAGGATGCAGGTCTGAACAGCAGCTCACCTTCTCCCTTCCTCAGTAGAGCTGACTGGTGGCAGCAGATTGTTGCTTTAAACCCTAAAGGTGAATGAATGTGGATCAGTCCATGCAGACACTAGGACCAGTTTAAATGGTTCCCAGGTCATGGACGCCTGTCCCAATGTCCCACCTGTAACCCCAGCATGCCAAAGCCTTGACAGGAAGTCTGTGCATCACCAGGAAGTTCTAAAACAAGCAAATTAAGACCCAAGACCCTTTACCCTACCCTTTTAAAACAGTAACAGAGATAACTGTTGAGTGTGAATGGCACGCAAAACTGAACCAGAACTGAACCAGAACCCGAAACAACAGAACCGTGTTAAACTGGTACTAGTTCATCGGTAGGGCTCGGCGCCGTTCAGTTCTGGATCGGTTCTCATGACAAAGATCGCATGAGTTATGGTGACCAGACGTCCTCTTTTTCCTGGACATGTCCTACTGTGTGTTTCCTGGACGGGGCCGCCTGTGGAGCTGGTTGCCTTTTGTATCTATGCTTCTTTTTCTATGTCTGCTTCTGTCTCCTTGAACCCCAGTGGGCCTCAGCAGATGGCCGCTCACACTGAGCCTGGTTCTGCTGGAGGTTTCTTCCTGTTCAAAGGGAGTTTTTCCTCTCCACTGTCGCTACAAGCATGCTTAGTGTGAGGGATTGCTGAAGAGTCAATGAGTCGATGCAATCAGCTGGTTTTCCTTAGATAGAAAACTTTGAATCAATCTGACTGGATGATCTGGTTGATCTGGATCTATAAAGTGACCTGAGATGACATGATGTGAATTGGAGCTATAGAAATAAACTGAATTAGGAAACAGTTCTGATGATCTGCTGCTGATTCTCGCCCCGTTTTCTGACATCTTTGTCCAGATATAAACTGTGTTTTTGGGATTAAATTTATCTCATTTAAAGGTTGATGAGATGACATCATGGTGACATCATTTCCCAGTGCCAGAAAACATCTGTCACTGGCATTTAGATGAACAAAAATCATGTTTATCAAGCAGAAGGTGAAACATAGAGAAGATCCTGAAAATTGATTCTAACCTGAATCTTCAAGAAGGGAAAAAAAACAAATTTTCAGGATTTCATGGTAGAAACAGATTCTCCTGCAGCACTGAAGCTAATCAACTCTGTTACAGCAGGTTCATTTTTAGCTATTTCTGTTTTCCTGGTCAATGGAGGTGAAATAATGCAGGAAATTACATTAAAAGTCACAAAGACAACAGATGTGGAAAGTTTTGCTGAAAGAAATCGAAGCGAGAGGAAGTTAGAACCCCCAGAAGTCGGCTTGCATCGATGTTCACGTCCTTCGCAGCAGTTCAGAGGAGGTTCCTGCTCCCGGCCGCCATGAAGGCACCAGGAGTCAGGGAGGTGCTAACAGGTGGGTTGTTTTGTTTTTCTGTCAAACATCTCGTCTGATGACCGCCGTTTGCTTTCCTGCAGCAGAAAACAGAAGGCGTGGCCTCAGCGAGCTCACCTGGCTGGATTTGTGCTTTTGCTTCTCCGTGACATTTTGATCCCATTTGAAGGTGCGAGCGTGATTTCCCCAACAGTTCCAGGAATCATAAAGGCTGGAGCTGTGACATGTTTGCAGTGGGGAAGGTGTTTCGCTCACAGCCCTGTTGACTCAAACACCTTACGTGGGCAGGTCTCAGATACGATGATAACAGCTGCGGAGGGAAAGCGCTTATCTGTCGGCTGCTTTGAGGCTTTACGACATCTGGCATCGTTCTCAGCTAACAGCGTGTTTGGCTTTAAGCCTCAAAAGCTCTCATTACGCTTCGCCGGCTGTGATCTGTGTTTACATCTCTACCTGCAGCAGCCCGGCTTTAAAAAGGTCACCAGGCACTCAGGAAACAATGATCCCACTTAAGGGAGTCCATTAAACAACACTCTGTAGGTCTTTAATTCCCAGGAGACTCACCGAGTCGCCCCGCTGGCCTCAGACCAACCTCAATCGTGACTGAAATTCACTTTTCCGCATCCACATGTGTCGGAGAACATGGCCTTCTGATCCGAGAGCAGCTCGTCCGTGACGGTGAGCTCCTCCAGCTCTGTGGTGTAGTGATCCGTGCTCTCCACCAGCGAGGTGTCCTTCACCGCGCTGTAGGTGAGCGCCACGCTGTAGGCCGCCGGTTTGTCCGAGCCCTTCCCCCTGCAGCGGCAGATCTTTCGGAAAGCGGCGCGAAACTTCTGAGACATGGCGTTGTAGATGACCGGGTTGATGGCGCTGTTCAGGTAGATGCAGATCTTGCAGAACAGGATGAACCAGTTGTCCAGGTACGGCTCGTCCAGGAAGGAGTTGACCACCACCAGGGTGCGGTACGGCATCCAGAGCACGGCGAAGAGGATCACCACCACCGCCAGCATCTTGGTCACCTGCAGGCAGCGAGGAGGAAGATGAGAGCAGGACCAGCTTTGACCAGGAGACAGAAAACCTTCCCTCTGGAAGCAAATCATTTTCCAGAACCCAGTTTGGACCAGAACCGGTCCATTCAAGGTCTCCACGGTTCCCAGCCTCTAAAGCTGTAAACAAGCCCCAACCATCACTCCTCCACCACCATGCCCAACAGTTACGATGATGTTTGGGTTCTTTTTCTAAATGTACCATTTTGTGAACTTCATCAGCAGGGGCAGATTTAAGAAATGTGGGGCCCTGGGCAAAGACAGGCAGGGGCCCCTCTGAACCCATTCTCCAGAT